GGCTGGGTGTGTAAAAATGCTTGACATGCAAGCATGTAACTTCAACTTGCTAGAACCCACATAAAAGCCAGATGCATAACCCCAGCACTCCTGCAGAGACGGCAGGAGTTGAGACAGGATACTTACCTGAAGTTTGTGGGCCAGCTAGGCTGGCATACATAGTGGAAAAACAAAGAAACTCTGTCTCAATCCACTGACATGTAAGGTTGTCTTTGGATTCCCCTACATGATGTTCTCACCTAACTCACACATACCATCCACAAACATGCACCACTAATGATAATAATAACAACAATAAATCACTTTTTTTAAGTGGTCAGGCCAGAAGATCAGCAGGGTAAGTATCACTTAATTTCTATAAATGTACATTTGTGGTGTCCTTCTTTGACCTAAGACTAAGAAACAAGGCCTTTCCATGAAGTTGTTCTGATTTAAGCTGGACATGTTGGCTCACTGCTGTAATCCTGGCATGTTGAAAATTGAGACAGAAAGATCAAGAGTTCAAAGTTATTCTCAGATCTAGCAAGTTTGTGGTCAGTCTAGGCCACATAAGACCCTCTCTCTTGCCAGGCAATCATGGCACACACCTTTAATCCCAGCAGTTGGGAGGTAGAGCCAGTTCGAAGCCAGCTTGGTCTACAGAGCGAGTTCCAGGACACAGAAACCCTGTCTGGAAAAAACAAAAAACAAAACAAAAAACAAAAACACAGACCCTCTTTTGAAAAGCAAAAACAAACAAACTAATATGTATGCATGGAGTGCATTGGGATACTACGTACATACATAATATGAAAGCAGTCAGAATGGAATTTGACCACTGTAGTGGGCTCCTGTCCTTGTTACTGGGGATCCTATGCCCTGAGACTCCTTAGTATGAAGTTCATTGCCAGTTACATATTCTGAATTTAAAAGAGCACAGTTTTTTTAATGGTTGTTGAAGGTGCATGTGTATGAAGATGACCATGTAGGCCAGATGAGAGTGTCTAGTTTCCTGTAGCTGAAGTTAAAAGCAGTTGTGAGTGACCTGATATGGGTTCTGGGAACTATAACGCAATCACACACACATTCATGCACACACACATACTGACATTAGTCTTTCGTTATCCATCTTTTGTGAGAAATATGATGCTGAAACATTTTCCAAGAGTCTACAGTGTTTTTTTTTTTCATTTTCTCTACTGCATATTTTTCAAAACAAAATACTTTAATCTTCATGTGCCACTGTTGGTTACTTTTTTCATGCTTTTGCTGTCATAAACAATAATTCTTTGCACTGACCTATTATCTGAAAGTTATTCACCTACACCTGTTGGGTTATTCTAGCATCATGCACTGAGAAGATTGTCTTTGCTCCACTGAATTGCTTTTGCAACTTAGACCAGCCAAGGTCAATTGGACAGGTGGTCAGGCAGTGCTTCCCCTCAGCAGCCCACATCCTTACCCCCTTCAAGCTGCCAAGTTGCTCAAGAGGAAATCAGTTAGATAGATGAAGGGACAGAGGGGTCAGTGTCTTTGCAACTTGGCGGTGACTGTCGTTCTCTCATTATTTTCTTGCGGAAGGAGCCTTTTCTTTCTCAAAGACCAGGAAGAGATCTGTTAACCCTGCTCCCCAAAAGTGGAAATGAAGCCAAAGGAAAAGTAAGAAAGAGAAATCTTCAGACCAAAGGGTATCAGCCTAAGCAAAGCAGGGAGCAACCAGGAACAGAGAGAAAAAAATTAACCAAGAAACTGGCTGCAGAAAATGGAGACTGAAAACCAGAAACCTCTCTGTCAAGAGGACAGAACCACATCTGCTCTTCACACCTGTCGGTCTTGTCAGGGTTCCCATCTCCCTTCTGGCACAGCCCAGGGGATTGTTTTTAACAACTATGTTATAAATGCCAATGCATACTAACCACTGAATCCTCCAGCTCCCCACTATCTTGCATGTGCTCCTCGATTTCTACAAATCTCTCTCTCATATGCTAGTCTATTGCTTTTGGTTTTTTGACCCTCTGAGATTCATCAGAGCCATCTATGTGACCCCAGATTTGGCACTATTTATTTGAGACTCGTGGACTCAGCAGAGGAGACACAACTAAAAACAGTGATTCTCTTCCCCTTGAATCTATAAATAGTCAATAGTTCTGAGGTATAGTGCAGGACCTGTCCCCTTACCTTGACTGTTGGTAGGGCAGGACTTGTGTTGGCTCAGTATAAATAACTGAAGTTGGTGTGAGTTAATGATTACAGTGATTGCATTAAGTATAGACAATGGCATTTTTGCAGCCCTTCACCCCATCTTCTGCCTAAACATGACCTGAACAAGGATGACGCCAATGGACAGGCTAACAATGAAGGGGGAAAACTCATGAGGTCTTAACCCTAGACAAAGAACTACAGGCAACTAAGGAAAGCTGAGAGCAGGGAAGAGCACATCAATTGGTTATCCAATACCAAGTGATCAGTCCTGAAAACATAGATACAAGTGACATTATACAGACTGAGCAGGTGCGCGTATATTTACAAATACATAACAGTAATTAAAAGGAGGCCATGAATTTGAAAGAGAGCAATAGGGGTAGGGAGATGTGCATAGGTAGGTTTGAAGGGAAGAAAAGGACAGGGAAAATTATGTAATTGCATTATAATCTCAATAAATAAATAAAAATTTTCAAAAAGATCTCCCAACTATTGACAAGCTTACTATGCAACTGAGGATGACCTTGACTTGATCCTCTTGCTTTTATTTGGGGGATAGTCTGTCCTGGGAGGTTTTGCTGTTCTTGGAGTCCAAAATGCCTAAAGATTTAGTAAAGTAAGTTATCTCTGAAAATTTAATGAAATGAAATAATTTAGGAAGACACTCCTTCAGCTATTAACATGTCTGTGCATGTCAAGCAGGAGTTGGAGACAAAGGAAAAGACAGACCCAAATTTCAGGTCTCTAATCCTGTTTGTTACCTTGTGAAGCCAAGTGGGGCATCAGGGCCTTCTGCCAAAGCAATTTCTGAGAGCCTGTTATCACAGGGCATAAATTTCCAACAGCAATTAACTTAAATTATTGGTAAGAAAACAGGACTATTTCCGAGACTGATAACATATTGTCTCCTATATTTTGCATGCAACTTCATGGTTTGCTTTTAGTTTTGCATTTATTTTTTCTTTAATGTAGTCTCATGTAACTCAGGCTGATCTTGAACTCACTATGTTGCTTATGATGATCTGAACTCCTGATCCTCCTTCCTCACCTTCCCAAGTGCTGGGATTAGAGGTCTGAACCACTCTGTTCAATTTTTCCTAGATTTTCATTAGAATAGAATAGCTTCACTAAGGAAAACATTTTTCTAGGGCTGGTAATATGGCTCAGTGGTAAAGCTATTGCTTAGAATGTAATTAGAAGGTGGTGGATTCAATCCTCAGTAAAACACACACACACACACACACACACACACACACACACACACACACAAAGGGAGTCCTGACTGCAAGGCAACTCAGCCTACAGCAAGGAACTTGCCACAAAGCCAGACACCCTGAGTTCAATCCATGAAAAAACAAAAAGAATAAAAAACAAAAACAGAACTACATGGTGGAAGTAGAGAAGCGATGCCTCCAAGTTGTCCTCTGACCTCTCTACACACGGGCTGTGGTATGCACACTCCCACACACATCCCCCTCCACACACACACACATACTAAATAATTAAAAGTAAAAATACATTTAGAAACTGGGTGTTGGTGGTGCACACCTTTAATCCCAGCACTCGGGAGGCAGAGTCACGAGGACCC